TGTGAGATCAGGTCCTGTTGGATCAGGTCCTGTAAGATCAGGTCCTGTAAGATCAGGTCCTGTAAGATCAGGTCCTGTAGGATCAGGTCCTGTATGATCAGGTCCTGTTGGACCGGTCTCAGACTAAAAACTGATCCTGTTAACCGGTTCTGGATCAGAACCCAGGTTCTGCTCACCCAGAACCTGTAAAACCATCAGAACCGACCCAGTACCCAGAATCCTCTGCAGCACCAGGTCTGGAGAACATCTCCACCAGAGTGCCGGGCGAGTCCAGACCTGACCCGGTTATCATGTCAGAGGAATTCTGCTGCGTGACACCAGAACCATCCAGACCAGAACTGAACCTGCGGACCGGGTCGGCCCGTATCCTGGTCCCAGAACCAGACGGTAAACAAGCCAGATGTTATCTGAGGAGAACCGTTCCTGCAACAAGCGGGCCTTCAGGTTCTGAACCCGGAGCAGGAGCCCAACGGGTCCACGTGACCCAGAACCAGAACTGAAGCGGGCCGCGGATCCAGCTCTGAACAAACAGGTTCTGCAGGTTTCAGCCGGGCCTCGGGGTCCAACAAGCACAGCTTTGTGTTCAGGTAGAAACAAGCAGCCGAACTTCAGCTGAGACTTTTACACCCAGACTCTTCGGCTGTTTCTGGATGATGTCATGTTTAGCTTTTAGCTACTTTAAAGCTAGTTTAAGCTGATCTGTTTGAGCTTTCAGTTGATTCAGTAAAAGTTGTGATCAACTTAGCAAAAAGTAGTATTAGCAAGTATTTTAAACTTAAAATAAAAAGTACACTTCCAGTTTACTTTTTATGTACTTATCTGAGTTTTACTTAACCTACACTATACTGGACTTGTACTAAAACTTTTATACTTTTTATAAAATAAAACATCCCAGTGTACTACGAACAAGTATTAAAATCAGTATACTTTCTAGTACACTACAAGTACATGGTGCCTAGTGTACTTGTTATACTAACGTGTACTCAAGTATACTTGTTAAAATGAACCATCATCATCATCATCATCTTCATCATCATCATCATCATCATCATCATCTTCTTCATCATTACCCAGAAGCCCATGAGCAAACAGCGGACAGGTGCGGGACGCATCAAGGTTCTACAGAACCTCCAACAGAACCGTCCTGCAGCCTGACTGCAGGTTGGAGTTCGAACCCGGAAGTACCTGCAGACTGGACTCACCTGGATGATAAGACCGCGAAGTCCCCGCCCTCCCTGAGCCGGACCTTACAGAACAGAACCCCGTTAACGAACGGAACCGCGCTCAGCTCCTGCAGGCTGAACTGGACCTGGAACTTAAACTTCTTCCTCTTCAGCAGGAACGACATGATGTTCCGGTCCAATCAGAGGTCCGGACCCAGGTTCTGATCCAGGTGGGTCATTCCTGCTGTTTGGACCTGAGAGGAGAGCAGAACTTATTGGAACAGGTGGAGCTTTAAAACGGTCCCGGTTCGGTTCGGTTCTGCCACGCAAGCACCCGGACCGCAGCGGCTCCAACTCACCGCACAGCCCGCCCGCAGCTCCTCATTCCGGGTCAGAACCGGAGCGTCGGAACCTTCGACTCAGTCCGGGTTCAGCCCCGGCGCCGGCGGCAGGGAGGCGGGATCAGGTCCGAGTCACGCACCGGTGTTCTGCCGGGAACCGCGACCCCGCAGGAAGAGGCGCGCACGCGCCGCCGCCACGGGAGCGCGCGCGACTCCTCAAGGTTCTGTTGGAAGCTAGGATCGTCACTGCAGCTAAAACTAAAACTAGCTAAGTGCTAACAGAAGTAGCTAAATGTTAGCATAAAACAGAAATTAGTTTTGAAAATAAAATGTTAATAAATCAATAAAGGATCAGTTTGTTTAATTCAACACATTTCTATGTTTTTATTTATTAAAACCATATTTAGAAGTTTTTATTTTTTAATTCAGTTTGATTCCTGAGTGGAGCACAGCGCCCCCTGCTGGTCCTCCACCAGAACTGCAGCTAATATTTAAACTGAAACTAGCTAAATGCTAACAGAGAAGCTATGTGCTAGAAGCAGCTAAATGTTAGCATAAAGCAGAGGAACCTGGTATATTTAAAATAAAATGTTAATAAAACTATAAATTAAATAAATTACAGGCTCAGTTTATTTAATTTGACACATTTGTATAAAATGTTTTTATTTATAAGAACAATTCAAGTATAAATTATTTTTTATCTCAGTTTGGTTCTGGTGTTTGGAGCGCAGCGCCCCCTGATGGTTCCCATCAGAACTGCAGCACAAACTGGTTTATGTGATAAAAAAAGCTGCAGCAGGAAACAGTTTCAGTCACTTCCTGTTCATCATGTGTACATTAAAACACTTCATTAAATAAACAAACAGAACAGGTTCTACTGACGGGTCCGGTTCTGAACCCGACCCAGAGCTCACTGTCAGAGCCTGGCCTGGTGCTGAGGAGTTCTGGCTCGGTTCTGGTTCAGTCCGAGGTGAAGCTGTTGGAGTTCTGGCTCGGTTCTGGCTCAGTCTGTTGTGGTCGTGGAGGTGTTCTGGGTCGGTTCTGCTCCTCGGTCCCGTCTGCCGTTGGTCCTGACGCCGAGCCGCTCTGCAGGAACTTCCTCAGGTCCTTGAGGACGGGTCTGAGCATCTGGACCAGCGCCAGCAGCGCAGCCTGGGTCCCCTCCAGGGCCTGGGCCTGGCGCTCCTGAGCCAGCGCCTGGGCCTCCTGGCAGCGCCGCATCATCTGCAGCAGCTCGTTCTGGCCCTCCAGGTGCTGGGCCACCTGACGCACGTGCACGTTGGTGACGCGCTGCTCCTGCAGCAGGCGGGCCGAGTTCAGGGCGATCCGGCTCTTCAGCTCCTGGGGTTTGGACCCGCAGGCCGGCGCCGGGGAGGCCGAGGCCAGCAGCTCCACGGGGGTCTCCACCGCCGTCACCACGGTGGGGGCGGAGTCTGTGACCGTGGTGGTGCAGTACTCCACCACGCCCCCGTCCTCCAGGGTGTGGTAGGTGGTCTCAGCTGGAGGCGGAGACAGAGGGTCCGCTTGGTGCCGGCTGAGGATTTCTTTATACTTTATTAAATTATAAACATTTAAACATTACTCACCGTTCAGAGGCTTGACCTGCTCACATCCTGCAGCTGGAAGAGCTGACAACACACACACACACACACACACACACACACACACAC